ATATATATAATAATAATATATAATAATGTTTTATATCACTGTGTTGTAACAAGTGATCCATTCATGCGTTCATCACTTTAATATTGTAGCTGATAAAGGTGGGACTGATTTCAACTACTTTATATACTGCTGGGTAGCTTATTCCATAATAATTCATCTTTATATATTAGTTGATTCATAGTTTGTGGAATTAATAGTATGAAATGGAAAATACTCAAGTACCTCAAAACTGTACTTATGTACAGTACTTGAGTAACATTCCACTACTCAAGTGTAATTGCACTGTTAGTGTGTTATCACCTTGTCTACCTCCGTATGTATGGATGTATATGAGTGGTGGGTGGATATGAATGTGTTTGTGTGTGTGTGTGTCTATATACATTTGCCTACAATACTTTTTTATTCATTTATTTGTATCTTTTTATTTATTAAACTTTGTTCGTAGTATATTTTAACTGGAATAATTGATGGCATCAGGTACAGACTAGCAAACTTACAATTTAATTGCATTGATAACTTGTTTATTTCTGCATCGGACAGTAAAGCCTTTGAGTTAGGTCTGATCATCAGAGACACACCCACTCCCCATTAGGTATCATTTAATCAAATCCTGGTCCTGATTCGTGTCTTATTATTCAAATTAATTTGTACTGTGAAAAAAAGAGGTTGGATGGCTGATTACCTCTGACCCTTGGCTTCTTCCCTGCATTCAATTATTTTGTGCGTGATTACATTTTCCATTTTTCCATCACTGCTGAGTGAAGTATCAGTCGCTTTGCATTGACACCTGCTGATCAAAGCTCTGGAGGTCCAAAGTTACCCAATACGCAGGACTGAGAGGAATGTTTTAAAAAGTCTCTGCTCCTTTAATTTGGAAGTGGTTCTAGTTGAGGACAGGTTGTTGACTGCACCTCACCTCCTGCACGTTCTGGCCGACATACAGAAGCGTTTGCTTTGTGTGACAGTGAGTGGCTGCTCAGTACTTGGACACATGCTTGATTTAACTGCAAGGTTTTTTTAGGACAAACATTCTTGGTCTGGATCCAGGGCCACACACACAATACACTCTGTCCCCCAATTACAATCATTTCCTGCTTCCATCGTCAGTGCAAAAAAAAAAGAAGAAAAGTCCTGCCCTCCTCTTAAAGGCAAAGTCCACAAAATACATGTATGACCTAAAAGGATCATTTATATATCTGGAATGTTGTAGCAGCATTTAAAAGGAAATGAAAAGGACAGCTTCCATCCATCAGTGATTAGACACTAAGGTCTGACTCAAACCACAGAGTGAAAACAAACTCAAGCTCCAGGTTCTGTTGAATCAAATCACTGAGTGCATCTTTACTGGGCCGGCTCTGTGTGGTAATGACTAGCAGCCAAACGGTAATGGCTCATAATGTTCCGAGAAAAATAGGGCAGCAATTCGCTTTTTTTGTTTTTGTACACGGACAAAAGTTCAAACCCTGCTTGTTGTTTTTTTGTTCCAAGTTCTGACTGATTTTGATGAGCGAATGTATTGTAGGGAGTTCCTATTGTCAGGCGGGGAGATGTGTGTGTCTGTGATGTCTGTGACATATAAAACCAAACACAGATATTTGTTCTCACAGATTTTATGTTATGCAGAAAATTAAAAAATATTTTGTACAAGTACATTTTATATAACCTTTATTTAGTCTAACGGAGATATAATTTTCACTCTCATTTTTACTATATAAACAAGATACAGAAGGACTGTAATACACAAACATACGTTAGAATATGATAAAAACAACCAATCAGAGTGCTGATGCTTTACTTTATTTTGATGTTCTACTATCTTCAATATGTTTACCTGAGAGCTATGTATGAGTTAATAGATTATACTTTAGTTAGTATTGCAGAGATGCTCATCCATAAATAATAATAATAATAACAAATATCATAATTTTACCCTTTGCTTTCTTTCTTTCCCATTTTCCTCCTTTCTTCCTTTGCTACTTCATTTTGTTCTTGATTTCTTTAATTAGTCCTTACTTATTTTTATTCCATGTTACATTTTCTTTCTTTCTTTTTTCTTT